TGGAGTGCTCGCAATAATTCGTCCTGAGGCACCAATATCGCCACTTTTGGCTGAAAAGGATTGAGGTGGCAAAACGCTGATATGACGTCGAGGTGCGCTGGAAAGTGAGAAGCGTAAGCGTGCTTATTCAATCCAAAGCGTGCAGCATTGGATTGAATAAGCTGAAGAATGACAGAGTCGATGACTGTCGCTCGTGGTTTGCTTTGAAATCATTGACATCGTGGATGTGAAAGCCACGTACATTGGCGATAGCAATTACTCGCAGAAGTAAAAGTGTCGATGTCAAGCTAGCAAAAACCTACAATCAACGTATTTGAACAGCCTATAAGCTCATGATTTGTGCTTCGCACTGCTCCTTACTATCGCATCTGCAAGATCGACGCTTGACCGTCGGTACGAATTGCTGTACCATAAAACTAGACAAGTGTTATTGGAATGAAAATTCACGATAATTGAGAAGAAAATTAATTGAATTCATTGAGACATCTTAAAAGAGCGTATTCAACTCATTGTCATAAATCACATATTGTAAACGCCTCATACTTTTCGGAAGAATTGTTTGTCATTGGATCTTAATTTTGACATCTATTAACGATACTCTTATCATGCTCACGAATTCCGGACAAAGTCGTTCTGCAATGTCTCTTTGAGTTAACTTGGCATCATTTGGAACCGTAAGATGAGACTTATCGAGAATTTTTTTTAGATGTTTAGAGTTCCTCGACATGTTGTTTTGATCGACAATTAGCTCGTAAAGAAAATATAATTTACCGATGAATCGTGGCTCAGATTATCTTCTAGGCCTTTGCCGACGTAACTCCTATGTCGGATCAAGATTGGTGGTCTTCATCATGAGCTGAAGAAAGAGAGCTTCAAGTTTGTCTTCCGGGACGACCAATGGACTCGTTACGATCAAAGCAAATTTGTTCTCGGTTTTGCGTAGTCCGAGATGAGTATTTATATAGTCTTCACTAAACAAATTGTCAATTTTGGTTCTATACACGATACGCGTCGTTGAAGGTGCTTTTTCGTTCATTTAGGCTAATAACTGCCAACAAATCTAAACACAATTTTCCATGCAGAGCTGAAGTCAAAGGATATTTGTGTGAGCCTAAGATCAAATTTATTATTTTTATCTTTTATGAGAACTGCCGCCAAATTTTCCCTGCATGGATGCCAGGCTTTGCCATTGTGCCGGTATTACACGAATGATTACAGCTCACGATCACTTGTTGTGCCCTGTTGAAGAGGCAGGCTCTGTTCTCGAGGTACTCTGTGGTGAGTACCATTCTTGCCTTCAAGCGGTAGAATTAGTAACCATTCGATGTCTTTCAGCGCTTGTACGCCGAGAAAAATCTCCACGGTGAAGAGTTGGTTGCTCTCCGTGGACAATTGGAGAAACTTCATGATCAGCTCGATCAGCTACCAAAGGTAAAGTAAGACCGGCAGATCCACTCGAAAGATATGACTTTAGCCTACCCTCATAAAATGTAGGATGTAGGCCCATTCGTGTAGGGATGGCTAATGTATACGCATTACCAGTGCATTTCATCACCTTGAGCGATCCTATGAATCTTGGTAAAGTTCCTGCTTCCCAAGTTGGATACTGCATGTTCTGACAGATTTGTCGTGGAAAAAGTACAAGATCATTGACCTTATATACCTTCTTGTTCTCCTTCGACTCTTATCTGCTGTTTTTTTGTAGATTCTGAGCTTTCGCGTTTATGTCTCGAACAAACCAAACAACGGATTATCTCCTCGCAATGAAGTCATCGACGTGTTGTTCCTCACAACTTGCCATGTTATCTAGAGGTCTCATTGAGTCAAAATTCGCTTTCAACTCTGTGACAGTATTTAGGTCTACTTGTGGGTCTTTAGCCATAGTTCCTTCCTCACTTAAGGTAGAGACCTCGCCCATTATGGAAACAGGTGCTCTAGGATGAATACCATAGCTCACATAAAATAGCGAATGACGTGTCGAGACATGCGTAGAGTTGTTCAACGCAAACTCTGCAAGAGGGAAAGTCCATCCACTCTTTGAACGACGTTGCCTGACTACGCAGTACATCTTCCAGGACTCGATTCACGCGCTCTGTTTGACCGTCCGTTACAGGGTGCGCCGCTGTTGACATGGACAATTTGGTACCCAATAGTCCATACAGTGTACGCCCCAGTTTCGACGTAAAACGGGAGTCACGGTCAGATACGTTCTCGACAGGAAGGTCGTACAGACGGAAAGCAACTTCTGCAAGGACCTTAGCTATCATCTCGGCAGAAATCATAAGGCGCAAAATGAAACATCTTGCTGAATCGGTCCGCTAACACAAGGATGCCACTGCGTTCATGTGTGTCACGCGGAATTGCGAATATGAAGTCCATACTCACAGACTTCCAACTGACAATTGCCAACGACCGAAGTGAGGCCTGAGTAGAACCCGATGTTTTTACTCGCTGGAAAACTCACAAGTCCTTACATACTTGCGCACCCACTTATACCCTTGTGGCTAATAGAAGTCCCGAGAAAAATCGAGGAACGTTTTGTCACGCCAAGATGACCACCAGAAGGGCTGTCATGGTACTCACATCCGAGACAATGACGCAAACCTCATATCCGAGACAATGACACAAATCCTCGTCATTTGGAACAACATCTCTTGCTGTGTCCTCGTGTTCAACCGCATAGTACAAAAATATGTTGTGCGTTCCAAAATGATGCATACGCGATCTTGTGCGTGACGGAAGACTTTGCAGTGCTTTGCCGAAAGGGTCCTTTAAATCCCTTAACAAGTCCTGACATCGTTGACAGACTTGTACCCTTCGACAGTTTCTTCGCGCGCTGTAGCCTTAGCTGGCACTCTGATCGTCTGAACATCTTCGCATTGCGACATGACTCCTTTATATTCTCACTCCTGGACTTTGGATCATAGTCTGGACCTCTTGACTACTCATCGGCTATGATGTTCGTCGTGTATTGTACAACAAAAATGTACTCCGACGTGTTCGAAATCAGTAGCTAAATTAAGTGTTTTGCTGAAACTTTGATGTGACTTACTGAGTCTGACTCTCTTTCTTGCATTAAATGGTCGTTGATCGACTGCTGTATTTGCTTACTTAAAACTGATCATCTTGCATTTTTGTATCTAGTATTTCTTTGGTTCTGAAGACGCTATTGTGCTATCCGTCGAAAATATCAAACGAGACGATGAGTGATTTGTGTGTAGTCCTTTTCGGTGCAGACACTGGTGTGCATATAGAGCGCCAGAGCATAACACCAGCGCATTTTTGCTCAGTAAAGGTCAAGTCCAACTGAATGGGTCGAAGGCATGACGCCATAGCCGTTCTTTTGAACTTCGTAAAACACTACCACATTGTCTAGCTCTGAAGGAGAGGGAAGGAGGACATGAATATTTATGGTTTTAGGCAAGGAAGAGCAACTAAAACAAAAACTTTACGCGTTGTTTTCATTAAATTCTCGATGTCCTCTCTTGTTTTTCCTACTAACTATTTGTCCGCAAACTATTTGTAACAAGAGCTGATTTTAGTGCTATATGATCCATCCACGAATGCCTGGCTAAAAAAGTTATGCCTATCCTGAAATGCGATCTGGTTTGCTGTATACCAACCACTCTTTATGCTCCAAACGCCAGCAAGACTCTAGAGACGAAAACTTTACACATCCAGCAGATGATACGCTGGGACGGATCTTCCTTTATTTATTGAAGCACTCATTTTTCTTCATGTTGATTTGCGACCTTTAAAAAATGCAGCTAAGTTTATTAGAATTTATCAGCAAATGGCTAATTTTTGTGCCATTAAAAGAGATTGGCGCACCGAGACCGTTGTCAGTTTCTAGCGTTAAGGTGTGTATTGTCGCTATCCTTGTCGAGCTCGTACTTCCCTCGACGTAGTGACTTCATAAATTTTTGCAATAACTAAGTCAAATAAATATCGCAATCCACATTCTAACAAATATCAAAACGTGCAGCTTTAGAAAACATATGAAATTGAAGTAGACTAATCGTGGTGGAACCATGATGTGTGAGTAGCTGGCTCGATCACTGATACAACTATTGTCGAAGCAGCGTAAGATTTGTAGTATTGGAAGTGCGGCGGCGTCAATGCAAGAGGCTTTTGTCATTCTCGATGCATGCGACGAGGTTTCTACTCTGTCGGAACGTTCAATGAAACTCGCATGCTAGGGGACTCGATGACTGTCAGTTGCAGTCGCTTGAAGCTGAATCACGGCTGTATTTATCAACTGCGTCAGCACAAGAGACAGATGCAATCGCAGCGAATGGATATGTACTTTTCACGGTTGACAAAAGATCATGTAAAGATGAAAGACCAAAGAAGGACTCGAGTGAGTCCTACTAATTTCATATGTAGGAGCTGCGGGAAACTGTTGCAGAGCTATTTGATTTTTCGCTTTAAAAGTCGCTCACATACGTAAGTATCGCTTGCATTCAGCACTTAGAAAGGAACAGTCGATGGAGGTGAGAGGAAAATTAACTATCGCTATCGACCTGGTCTTACGTTGTGTATTTTGTATTGATAGAGAGTGTCGCTGTCAAGATCAGCAGTACTAAGCTCGGAATACTCGGGTGCAAATGATTGCAGTTCGACGGTGCTGCAATTGATCCCGTGGCTGCTGTAAGAGAAATTATGACGCGTATGGACGATATGTATGCGGAAGCCAAGGCGTTGATTAATTCATACACAGGAGCTGCAGCGTCGTTGCCAGCACTCAGTTGCCTCAGTTGTCACTATAATGTCACATTGGACCTACTAAAAGGTCCAATTTCACTGTCAACATATGAGACACCATTAGGTTGCAGGTTGGATCTAGCAAGAGAATTACTATCAGCAATCATCCCCGTTTCAGATCCATTCCAGCTAACCTTAAGTACTCGGGTAAATAATTTGAAAAGTCTTGATGTTTAGTGATGTAATTATCATATTTTTCTTCATCATATAACTTTTGCAAGGCTACGAGGTCGTATGCAGATGGTAAGACAAAATATTCGATAGAAGTCGGAGGTTCAGATGTAACTGGGCATCCAGACGGTCTCGTGCTCTCTCAAAGAGACAAACGGAAAAGACAGCGAATTTTTATTTGGACGGCCATCCCTTTCCATCAAAGTGGTAAAATAATGTTTCGAGAAAGTTTATGGAGGATGGCTGCAACCAATTCAGCACCGTCGGTCTGTCATTCGCGTCAACTATCGCTTTTGCTGAAAAGTGGAAGCTTGCACTTTGATTGATGGTGAACACGTTGACTATTCGTAATCAATCTATCGAGGCAAGTGGAAGCAAAGATGAAGAAAAATCATCATAAGCTTTAAATGAAACTTTGATCGAGATGGGAAGATCGGACGTGGCCAGCTTAATAATGTAATCTCTACTTGCGACATTGTAAGTAAGTTGAGACCGCATAATCAGAGAAGACAAAATCCTTGCAAACGGGGCCTATACTGGTTGGATGTATTTGAAACCATTAAGGTGCGGGTACTTGAGATGAATGATCGGCCCTTGTACTGAACTGAATCTTCTTTTTTTGTTCAGCTTCGTCGAGTGCAGACAATCAAAATTTTTGCGAAATGCTGAAATATTGTTCTGAACATCGCAATATTAATGATGGTACTGAACAAATCGTTTCAATCATTCGCTTGTTGATAAGGCAAAAATGAATTGACTTAAAGCATTCTGGGATAGCTGTAGCATAGATACTGTTCAACACTCGATTAAGTTATCATGCTCGATTAAAAACGGAAATGTCTGGAATTCAAAATACCTTACACTTTCGAAGCACGTGACTTACAAAACGAATTTCATTCAACAGAAAGAGTCTTGGAATAAGTCGCCTGAGCAATTGAATACGTGTCTCTGCCGATGCAAT